ATTTGGCAACGAATTTTAATCTTTGTAACAATTTTTACAGTTTTGCGGGGCATAAAAGAAAAAGAAAAAGAAAAAACTAAATTTAATATGGACAGGATACGTTCGAAATGGTTCGCCTTTTCCCAGAAATCTGGGGGGAGTGTTGGTCACGTGGACATTGGGTGATACAGGACCCTTGATAAGAAGAGTAGTCGGAATTATTGGGTCTGTCTGGTGTCCAGATTGAGTATTTATATGCAGCGAGTTGAACTAACTCGCTGCGCGGCGAGATAGTAAGTCGCCGCAGCGAGATAGTGCAGTAAGTTGCCGCAGCGAGATAAATAACTCGTTGCGGCGAGAAAGTTTCTCAAACAAATATTTTGCTAGTGGCCATTATACGCCTCCGTACGTTTTTGACTGACCAACCTACGGGAAAAAAATTCGTGCGCGGGGCCGGCGCTACACACTTTGGTTTCAGTGACGTCTTGATCGACGACTACTATCGAAACGTCATGTCAGAGCTCGAAAACACCTTAACATCATCACATGTGGTAAATCAGAACGAAGTCAGCTGTATGATCCGACAGTAACGTTGATCATCGAATAGGTCTGAAATTGTGTCGCATTTCTATATCGATAAAAGGAGGTTTGAAAAACGACAGATACTGGGCGTGTTTATTTGGCCCACAGAAAACAGTACTCAACGTTAAGCTTGAGCGGGACGCTACATGTAGCACTGCCAATCGTAGTCGTGCACCATAGCGCCAACGTTACATGTACATGTACATGTACACATAAACGGTGTTCACGGACTGAGCTGAGTGGCAGCTTGCTTACGAATACGACTACGAGTCCGACAGTACGACTACGACAAAGTACGAGGCTTTCCCAAAATTGAAGGCTCGTTATCATGTATGTACCAGTCACCTGCCGCGAAGACATGCCATTAGCATAATAGCAATAGCAGTGAGGGGTTTCAGCATGTACCAATATGCAGGTAAGTGACTTAATATTTTGAAAATTGTTGAAGCTATGAACATTGTTGTCAGTAGTAGGCCTACTTTTCTGCTACATGTATGTGTCTGACTGAATATTTTCAAAGATGACATGTTGAAACATCAAATGAACCGAACCGTTAAACCGATCAGTACTTATTCCATTTTGAAATGAAGAACATTATCCTGATTATTAACAGTTGTATACTTAAACTTAATAAAGATGTCTTGATAAGACTTGTACATGTACTTTTCTTTGAAAGGGTTACGGAAGTAGAAAACATTAGTTCACGTGTAGTATTCAAAATAACAATAAATACGTAACCATTTCAAATCATCATAAATTTAATGTTTACCATGTTAACAACATGAATTGTGACTGCAACATAAATAAAGAGATCCCGCGTTTCCCTGCCCACAAAAAATCCCCTTTTGGCTGTTTGTGCTCCCAGGCTGATTGGATCATGGATCATGTCATTGCCAGAATGACGCATGTACATGTACATAGTGCACAATACATGCAGTATCACACGCAATGGACCATGTTTCGTTTGATGTACATGTAGCTTGCCCCACTGGCAAATACTGTTTCAGTTCAAGGTGGAAAATTAAGAGACACAGTCCTACATGTACAGTGTGTTTCTTGAACTGAAACTATTTTTGCCCTTTTGGCCAAGCTACTGTACATCAAACACAATGGGGTCTGCTACGCGCGATTGCCTGCAATTAAAAGAGCCAGGGAACTACGTGTACACAAGGTATAGTTGCCTGCGATTTAGCCTTCACTCAAGGTGCATCAGAACACAAGACGTGCACCTCTAATCTGCCATGCATGACGAAGACACCAATGCAATGGTGCACCAGTTGGTGCCATACACGCCTTGACTAAAGGCTACCGTTACGCAGCCGGAGGTGCTGTGTGTCTATCAGGGGCTAAGATAACATGCGTATTGGTGTACATACGCTTCCTGACTTGGAAATTTACTCCAAATACATAGCACAAACCTCATGCAATGATTTCTACTATAGAAAAAGTACCATGGGTTTCTGTAATTTCGTGTTTTGTCAATTATGCCCTGCCCAAGCGCCCATTCATTGTGGATGCTACTGAAACCGATTTATGTTCATCTGCATAACTTTTCCTGCTGCCTCGTGCATTATTCAGGAAATCTGAAGAAGTGGTCACCAGACTTCCCGAAAGCACAGTAAAAAGATTTCTAGCCCATGGGGACCACACTAATTTCAGTGATTTTTGCATGAATGGATAGGGTTTGAGTTGCCTTATCTCATTGTCAAAAGTTCCGCCAAAAAAGGCGAAGTTTTCTGCAAGTTTTGATCCACGTAGGCATTTTTACAAGTTGCATTTTAGAGGCTTTCCTGTACATCTGTGGGAAACTAGGTATCAGTTTTGGAAAAGTCTGAAACACCTGAGAAAGATTGAGGTTTAGATTGTGAGGTTGAGTGCATTTGACCACTGAGAGATGAAGTGAACCGTTATTTTCTGAATGGTCACTGCCGGGTGTGTGTGCATGGTGGCAGGTCAACATGGCATCTGCTAGTGCTGCAGCCAAACTGCCGAACCGAACCAAAAGTTGTCGAACATGGCACTTTCGAACCGAACCTAACCCTATCAAACTGGTCAGTTCGGGTATTCAGCTTTAATACGGCATGGGATACATTTACTTATGAAGGCCCCATATGACGCGATGGTTGTAAATTAAGCACATGGTGAGAATTCACTAATAATCAACCGATAATTCTAAATTCTCAATACATCCAATTGTGCTTATAACTTCAGATTTAGCATTGTGTGTTTGCTAATCTCCTATAGCCACGCCCTCAGGTTCCATATCAGGCTAATGATGTCATAAATGGCTGTGCAAACTGAATTTTGATTGGATGCTGATCATGGTCGGACTCATGCTAGATCAAAGGCAACTCTGGAAGGAAATCTGATTTTGCCAGCGGGCCAGTGTAGTGTTTGTGCCTTGGCTGAACTTGCCTTTTTTTATCTTGTTTGATAGAAGTAGTAATGTGAATATGTTGTAATGGAATTTTGCCATATCTCTACTTTTTTTGTAAATCTCAAATAACAAAATGCCATTATCCATTCAAAAAAGACTGATGGAAAATTGCTCCTTTGGCCACGTAGGCGCTCTCCTGGGAAGAATCCTGACTTGATACCAAGGTTCTTCTAATACATCAAAAGCCATGATTTGGCAGTTGATTCTGTTTCATGAAAAATAACTAAAACGCAATTCGCTCGAAATCTAATTTGATCTTATATCCTGTAAAGGAGGAAACTCCCATTTAAGCATGCTTTTTTTCTGTTTCATCGATTGTAGTACGATCGTTTCATTGAGTCAAACGTGGTCCAAACACACCGCTTTTGGTTGGCAAAACATACATGTACATGTAGTTGGAAGTTGTCACACTTCCAACGGTAACTTTCTATGCAATTTTAATGCCTAAACAAACTTTGGGGAAACTGTTTAGAAAGAACTTATGCTCACATTGAAGTTGGCTGTGGATGGGGATGGAGAGTAGATTCATTGCTTGTGTTAACGTAGCTTAAACATACCGATAGAAGTACTATACAGCACGGTTGTAGCGTGCTCTTCGATGTCTCAATGTGCATTGTAAATGTACGAACATGTACGTACATGTAAATGTGTGTGTGTCTGAACCCGAACCGAAGTTCGGCAAAAATTTCAGAACCGTGTCCAAACCGAACTTGTGCAGCAACTTGCACTTGTGTCCGCACGCGGTAGCCTCACACGTGCCACCGTATACAGGCCGGATTTATGTGATTTTTGTCTATGGTGTCATGAGTTCATGGTTGTCACTAAGCGCTGTTTTGTACTGTGTTTTCCTAGAGAAATAACAAGTATCTTATCTTATTTACTAAGGCAAAATAACTCACATAATAAAAAAAAACTGGTCCTCAGTTCCTTCACCTCTTAGGGATTACAGTAGGCCTACTCTCCCTCTCGTGAAGAAGAGTACAATTCGAAACAATACTGACGGCAAAAGTTTGTTCTTATTGATCCTGCAGGTCTGTGACAGATTTCATTAAAAGTGAACAGGCGCGCAACCTCTGCTGTCATTTTTTAAAACAGATTCCATGCAGTTCTGACGCACTGTAACTGACGATATATGTCTTGTCATTTACAGAAACAAATAAATATAAGATTGGGTATATTTTGCAAGTATGACAAGGTTGAAGTGCACAGTGTCAACCACCCCATCACATACATGTAGGTGCTGTGGTTTGTCAAATAAAGCATGATGAAAATAAAAGGTGTCTACATCATTCCATAGCTGTATATGAGAAACAAGGGTCCCTCTATGCTGCGATTGGACTTACAAGATGTCAAAGTAGCCGTGAAAAGTTGCTTGAACCTTTGAAAAAATGTGTAAAATTGACCGAAAATAAAAGAGGAAAATTCCTTGTTTTCCGTTGTTGTAAATGCAATGGAGCATTAATTCCTCAAACACAATTTCCTTCCCACCTACCTTTCATATCCATAAAATAAGCAGTATATGTAGCTTCCTTTGTTGTAAAGAGACATTCTGTAGAACCTGGTCATAGTTGACGGAAATTTAATGACGTTCAAACTATTTGACGGACAGCAAGTGACGTTTGGGACGCCCGTTAACAGACCGTATTTGCGGCGTCCCCAATTTCAGTCATATTCCCCAACGTAGTGTATTTATCGGAAAACGTTAAATTCAAAGAACCAGACTATAATCTATGATTTCATCTCAAAATCACCTGGTACCGCCCCATTATGGGTTTATAATTTATACCGTACGTTCAGGAATACGACTGAAGTTGGGGACGCTGCGAATACAGTCTCGGCCGTCTTCCAATCCTCAATTTGGCTCTTTTTTTACTAGCTGACTTTGAAGCTGTAAGCGCATTAATCAGTCTAATAGTGCCACAAAACATCAAATAAGATGCAAGAAAACCACAAATTACAGTAATCCAATGTAATTTAAACGCTTCAAGCCCACAATCGGGGATTGGTTTTGGGAACGAAGGCTACGACGGAGAGGAAGTTGAGTATTGGAAAACGGCCCTATTTAACTCAAGCACATGTGGTATCTTCACTACGCTCGTCCGAGAAACAGTACTCATGCTGTATTTAAACGTGAAGGCTTTCTTATTCCATCGTCCAAGAGAATAAATGGTGATAAACCGAGGTCATGCAGTTTTGAATATGTTTATTCCAGTATGAAATTTCCTGACACACAAAAGCTGGTGTCTCCTCCAACACTTGCAAGTCAACGTCGTTCTTGTTTACAAAGATTTATACGTCAGGTTCCTGGACTTTTTGCAAATGTGTGCAAACGTTATTGAACTGTAATCGATTAGGCCAACGTAGGCACTATGAGGAATAAGAGCAAACTTTCAAAAACAATAGGCCTACCATTCCTTCTAAAGATGAAATAATTGGTTGTTAATCTTAATTGCGCGCGGCAAACAATGCCACGTGAATATGACGTTTACTCATAATCAAAACTGCATATTAAACTTAAACTTTTGGGTTTCCAGGGTGATGTAGCATGGCACCAGCGGACGGTCTTATCAAACTACAGATTAAAGTAATTAGAACACCACTGAACAAGAGAAATTCTTTTTTTTCAAAATGGAATGATTTGATAACCTCTGAAAGTGACACAAGCATTTCAAATTTTTTCATTTAAACAAGTTCGTTATTCATCCCAAACAGAGCAACATTTCACTCAAACAAGCAAAGTCCAAATTCCAGTGCAGTTTTATCTACGAAACCACAGATCGAAACATTGAAAAATAATATGTCCGTAGTTATTGCTTTAAGGCCGCTTGTTTGACTTGGCGTGAGCTTCAACACAGCATCTGTGATCTTTGGCTCCAAGGGACATCTTAAGTCGGCTGCCGATCACAGTCCACTCTGGCTTCACATGGCATTGGTAGTCACTGTTGCTCTGCCATGATACATGTATGTCTTCTTTGTCTGGATCCTGACTTTGACAAGTACGACAGCAGCATCGATTTCCCTGATACATCAATCACCTGTAAAGAAAAGAAAAACACAGAGTAATCACTAGTTGGTATAATCTTGTATTTCCATCAAACTTTGAGATCATAACCTCACCTTGGCTAAATACCAGTCCGATGAACCACGGCGCCCTTGTAGCTTTTACAGGTATGAAGTCTCCGTCTGTTGGTTCACTTGCGAACTTGCCATCTGTGGTAAAAGAATATAATAAAAAGTGTAAAAGAAAACTCACGCTTTTCGTAAATGCAAACTTGAAATCAACGTCATAATTTTCCCTACGAGCATTTACGGATACAGGAACTTTTTTAATTTACCCGGTAAAAATGATTATGAATGCATTTGCGGGAAGCATTATCTTTCGCAAACTGCAACTATTCAAGAACAATATGCTCTCAAAATGGAAACAATTTATGTAATAAATTGCCTGATGAAGCTGGGCCATTTTGCAAAGTGTTGAGGCCAGACGTGGATGCCACCTGAGACTCATCTGGTGCTGCCACTTGGGCATTTGTAGTGAAGTTATTCTTGGACTGGGCAGCTGAAGACACAACCTCCGTCACAGTTCCTGCCACAAATTCAGTAACGTATTTATGTGGGAAAGCGATTGACAACACGAGGTAAGAATTTTTAAAAGTTATGGGTTCGTTAAACGATAATTAATCAAAACAGAATGTAACGGGAAACGAAGAAGAAAAAAGAATTAAGCTGTTCGTAAGTTTTGTGCAAATACGTTGAATGTGACTTTTAATGATGTGCTTGTGAAGGGTGCGTGATTAAAATATGAAACGAAAGGGACGAAGTGAAAGGAGTGAAATGATTACCACCGTACAAAGCTGTTCTGTTCACCCAGGATTTACAATTTTGTTTCTTGCTAACCTTTCCCTTTGTTGTGTCAGACGCTTCACCTTGAAATCACCAGTGGTCTAACTGGCATTTTTGCGCTGACTTGCATTGCCAGCTAGACACTGCATGCAAAAGCAAGACAACCTCCTAACATTAAGCTGATATGGGCCCACAATCTGGAACTGATGGTAGCCTCGAGAACCCTTTAGTGTAGTCACTTCTCTCTGTGGTCTCTCCCGTTGGATTTCACTTTAACCCACATAGACAAAAGTGCGTTTTGAGTAGGTTTCATCACTGGCAATGTTTTCTGTGCACCACTCCCACATATCCTTGGCCGAGTTGATCACGACTTTTCGGCCAAGTATCGCACGATCCACTGCCCTATTAACCACTCCAATTTCTCCATCTCCTTCTCCCTTCCCATGTTCTGACCCAAAGCAGTTCCACTCTCTATAGACAGACAAAAGGCTAAGGTCTGCAAATGTGCCCTTTCCCTTGTACTGGCTCTGACATCCGTCACTCCAAACCACCTCCCTCTTCACATGCACTTTGTCGGCAATTTGCTGTGAAGCCAGGTTGAGATAATGCTCCACAGCATGGTAATCTTGATTGATGTCATCAGACAAAAAGATGATGGAATCCCAAACAAGAGTGTTGTCGCTTCTGTAATATGTAACTATCGGGTGCATTGTAATTTGCCTGTGGCCGTAATAAGCTGCCTTGACCTCATCTTGATAAAAGACCTTTCTATTTTGTCCGAATTCCATAATAATCAATGCCCAGTTTTCTTGAAGGTTTCCCCGCAAATTCGCATATTGCCTCTACTGCCATTGTGCCGTGAACAAGTGCCTGACAAAAGACACACCCTGGACAGGTTTTTCCACATCCTTGACCATTTCATCTACCATGGTTTTTATTGACCCATGCTTCGTTTTTAGGACCCGGCGTGCCTTTCTGTCAACTACTTCTTCTCTTTCCCAGTGCAGCCAAGTGAGTTTTCCATTGGACTTCTGCTTGATATCCTGATACATTTTTCGGATGCTGTCACCATGGTTTCCGCATTTACTGCAAGAACCGAACATACATTCTCCTTTCTGGAATCTCTCGGCATCTGATACTGGACAAAGGATGGTATCTGTTAACATCAACTCATCGGTCATTTTCCTAGAAGTACTTGATGTCGCGTCAATAGCCCGGTTAACGAGAAGCTTGTACTTGATGTTTGTGTAGTAGACGCAGACACAGACTTCATGGTGAAATTTGGAGAGCAGTCGGACATTTTTTGGTCTAAAATATGTGAATTTTGTGTAACCTTTTTTCTCTCCTGGATTTTTGGATGCAAATACATGTAAGCGTTATGCAGTCTGCATTGACATCTGCATCACGTGCCCTGGCCCATGCTTTGTAGCGTATCTTTTTATTGGTAGCGGTCTTGAAATATCTTGACGAAGGTAGAAATCAGTTACCTTCTGTTGCAGTCGAGGGGCCACCTTTCCACACCCTGACACCTGTTGCTGCCCACTGGTCCTAAGTGCTCTGGTGATAGTTACAGTGCTTAATTTTAGCTGCTTACTTAGCTGCACTCGCGTGGCAAACTTAATGGAGGTACAAGCAAATCGCTTCAATGCTTTTTGTCCTTGATTTTGCTTGCTATTTCTCGAACTTTGGGGCCAAAAACCTCGGGTTTCGTCAGTCCTTGCTCTTTCAGGGCCTGCTTCTTCCAGGGAGACGAGTTTGTTATCTGTCCATGCACAACTGTCGCAAACTTTTCTGGGGTTCCGGGAAGAGCTTTTCGTGCTCTTGTCATATGGTTTCTTAGTGTGTTAATTGAATGATAACCTGGACTCCGTTCATCTTCTTGCCTGTTTTTCTTTCTATCCAGATTTTTGGCTTGTTGTTCTCGTTTACGCTGTCTGTCTTTTTCTTTTACTCGTCTCAGCTTTTGCGGCTTGCTTTCTTTCATTCTTTTCCTTTCAGGTTGTTTTCTCTCACGCCAGTAGGCTCTCCTGGCCTCTGTTCCCGCCCTTGTTCCTGCTCTAGCCGGCACGTGACCTGCAGCCACACTGGATGAAGACTTCTTGGGAAACTGCATCTTTACTTTTGTGGGCTGACTTGTTACAAGCAAAACGAGCAGCCGGTGCAGTTTGTGCAAAGGAAGGTGGTTTTAAGTCATGGGAGTGGTGCTGATGGGTAGCAGTGATGTGCAAAGGACCTGTTACATTGGAAATGAAAAGGCTGTGGTTGAGCGCAGTACATTTTGCTGGTGATACTGGACTTCAAGCTGTATAGAGCTTTTCACTAATAAATTCATAACATGTATGCGCAAATAGCCTTGGCGGCAAGAAGTGTGAGCAGGCCACTGAAAACGAACAAGGATGCAGTTTTGATTATTTTCTTTCAGGTTCTCTGGCTTTAAGTGTTTCCTTCAGAAAATCCAATTAAATCGTTTTGCTATTAATTTCTAATTCAAGCGGGGTTTTTAGTGCACCTGTAAAAAGATTTTACAACTGTGATTTTTCGTGTGCACGTGCGCATGAGATTGCCGTATCTAAGCCAGTCTTCTTTCGTGTTTCTTAATTTGCACTTAAATAAACCGTGAAGACAGTTAAGATTGGGAAAAATCCAGGAAAGAAAAAACTACCAGGCCACACAAATTTTGGCGGTGCGGGCTGCCCTGCTAAAGCCCCTCATGGATAGCACTGTTATAAATTTATTTGTGAAAAGGTCTATTTACCCGCATCCACTTTACCCCAATGACAGTATTAAAGGAACAATCTGGTAGTTTCGTATTTGGAGCCCCAACAGTCTACAAAATAATCCATTCATTCACAATTAGCTTAACAAAAATTAAATCAGAAATAAATGTGAAACAAACTGAGGCAGCAATTGCTGGGTTTTTAATTTGTCTGCTTCTTTATTTCATATTACCGACACCCGTGTCATTTCAAAAATAAGCAGTTAATGGCCTATATAATAGCAAATAAATTGAGCTACACAACAAATCATTGTTACTTCCTGGCTACCCTTAATATACATGTTCATGTACAATGTATCATCAAAAAGGTTAAACTTGATGTTAAAGTCCACTTTCCTGTCTGTCAAAAATGACGTGCGATTTGCCTGTCCGTCAATATATAATGACGCTCGCAATCAGTCTGAAATTTTATAATATTAGGGAATGTTTCTGTCATGTGACTAACGCGTAGTTTGCGTGCTTCAGTTATTCTGTGGCTGCTTATGTTGCATTAATGTAATGTTATCAAAGAAAGAATTTTGACATGTCGTTGGCTATAAAGGGACTGACTATTTAATTTGATACATTCAAACTGGTCTGTAATGTCATTCTTTACAGTACGTCATATATTTGATGAAATTTCTTCAATCATACTCACCAGAAATCCTGAAAATTTAGGAGCACCATACTACCCATTCTTGATGACTTCGGCGTCGGAAGAAAGAGGGCGGTTGAGTTTGGTCGATCACGACAGAAGGTCAACGCACTAACTGGAGTTCGTTTTTCCTGAGCGTTATGGGTTCGTTCAGACAGACATTTTTTTAAAATAACATTCGCAAAATTCACAATCATGTGCCGTTGGTTGTGACTGACTTACAGCTTTACTGAAATCATTTGAACTCGTTCACAGATGGGTCCTTCCCGTACCAATTTGGCAACCCGTTGATGAGTTCATTATTTTAAATATCTTTGGTACTTTAAAAAGTTGACATTGTGACGGAACTAAATAACGTTCGCAAACTTAGGAAGAAGTATGACACCACATTGTGAAGGAAAGACCACCTTTGTTGTCATCATTATAAACATGTACCCTAGAAAACCTTCTGAAGTATGGATAAAAAATTTACACGCAGGGTCTTTGATGTCTCAAGTTATTTAGATGAATTTTTGCGAGGTAGTTCGTGTCCGTCCAAAACCATGACGTTCGAAACTTGAAGTCAAGTTGTGTTAAATTAAGAGGAGCCAGGAGACGGAAACTATGTGTCATAATTACATGTATATATATCCTTCGTTCCACCTCACACTCTTAGAAGCCAGATACAAAGCACTGTCTGAGAAATAAGAGAAACAATAGCTAATAGCTAATAGCCATATTAATGGCTCTCTACTGTATGTCTGTTTTTCATGAAACCTGCCCTATGCATAGTTCTGTTTATAGTTATCTTTATTTAATGTTCCTAATGTCATTGTTTTGTACGTGTACATGTACATGAACTTGATAACAGGATCACGAAATACCGGTGCATTAAATTGTTTCACACTTTGAAAGAAATACACATGACAAAATTATCTTGAATTTCCAAAAAGGTTAACTTTCAGTTTTAACTGTGCTGACATGAACTTCGACATACTGGGCCGGCTGATTTTAAAAAGAAAGTTCTAAAGCAAGTTTAATCATTTTGTTCTCACGTTGGAAGCGGGTGACTTGTCAAAACAAACATGCTTGGAGACCCCCAAAACAAAAAAATGCTGGAAATAAAAGGTTGTTGATTCTTTTTCCAATGTCCCCGAAACATTTCTTTGATACTCCTGTATGAAATAATTTTTAGAGTGTTGCTCATGGTCACGTGGTCGGTTGTTGGTTTTGCCATCCAACCCTTTAGGCATGTTAGGCGGGTCACATGTCTGGGAAGCTGTCGACTGCCTAAATGTTACGTTAAGTTAGATTTCCCAAAAATATTTCAGCGGCTTTTAGGACGTTTCCGGTTACTTCAAAAATATGTATTACTCTGCAACTACTGTACAATATGCGTATGGGGAACACCATTTTCGGATATGTATTGCAAGGAATAACCTGAACCTTTTTGGCAGCAGATCTTTAAATTTTTTTTCGAAATTTACCTCTAAAGGAGCCATGTAAGGCACTTTTTTCTCAAAAATCAGGATATTCGCTTTGCATTTGTGCACTGTTGTCCGAGAATTTCCTGTATACTGTACATGTATGTGAGGGCCGGTTGTCCACGCAGCTCATGTGACCGCTCTGTGGCCATTGGCAATGGGCTTCATTAAATATGAAGCCCACTAAATACATGTACAGTGTAGAAATGCTTAAAAATTTCGACCGAAGATTTAGTTTGAGGTTTAGGCCGTCAAATCTATGGAAAGGACTAGTTTTCAGACCATATAGAAGATTCCGCCAACACCACACGCTCGTGTCCTAAGTGGAATAGCTTTGGCAGAATGCGGTTCGGCTGAGAAAAGGCTCAAGACATCAAAATGGCAACTGACAGGAGCTTTTTCAGGAACAGTGTTATACTGCTACACAGGTTCGATTGGCCATGAGCAGGGGATTAACATGCGATGTGCGATATGCGACAAAGGAGACCCCCTCTATTTTGTCTTCTTTTGTGTTGGTGGACTCTTTGGAATTCTTTTCAGATTTCCAAGGGGATGCAGTACGCACAATAGCCTTAGGGTATACAGCTTGTGCATTACATTGGGGGGTCCCCCTTTACCGCATATCATGCAGGGTATCATGATTAAAGCTTATGAATTGGAAGTTTCCAACCAATGGAAATTTGTTAATGATGTTTTGACTCTGTGCGGCGATGATGGTGACACTGTGATTGGGTGAACAAAGTCAACACCTGTAGTTGCTAAGCAACGAATTTTAAGCTGAGGTAAGCATTCAAAAGGAAGGTGGTAGCAATTGGTAAATTGGCTTCCTTGCACGTTTGCAAGAGTTTGCAAATTAACACAGCATCATGTCGCGACTGCGTCTACAAGTAAAACATCAAATCGGCTGTCTTAATAAAGATGGACACTCCCCAGCGGTCATTTGCCGAAAACTTTTCCTTGACGGTTTCAAGACTGAGACAAGAACAGTTTGACGCTTTCTCTTGTGATAACAGGGAGGAAGGAAGATTGGCCGACAGGCCAAGGCCCGGGCGAAGCTTAAGACTTCTACCACAGCATCTTAACCTCATAGACCCTTTTATTATCAGGATGACAAGCTTACTGCCCAAGATATTCAAGGCAAGCTCCTTAAGGTCTCCCTCTCAATCAAGAGGGTGAGAAAAAACCCCAATGGGTCAAAACAGGTACCAAGTAGTGCCAACTGATTCGCATCCCCAATAGACAGTCAAGGCTTGAATTCTGCAGAACTGCATTAGTTTGGCACAAGAACTTTGATGATGTAATTTTTACCGACGAGTATTCGATCCAAATGGAGTCCCATACATGTAGCAAACTCACATACAGAAAAATTGGCCGTGCAAGAAAATTGAAACAAAGGCAAAACATAAGGTTCATATTTGGGTAGGAATATCGAAGCTAGGAGTCACTCAAGTGCTTATTCTGAGAAAATCATGGACAGCAAATTTTATTGAGAAGAAATCCTGAAAAATACTCTTGCCATTTGTGGCATCTGCGTTCTCGAGGGGTACAGATTTCAACAAAAGTTTATGAAAGCGAAGGGATAAACTGGTTTAAAACTCCACTGAATCACCAGACCTCAACCCCATCAAAAACTTGTGGCATCAGCTCAATTACCACCTTCGACGACAAGTAAAGCCCAAGACTGCCAAACAGTTCAAGACAGGTATCCTGTAGTTCTGGAACACAACACCGACCCATGAACTTTGTACAAAATGTACTGTACATAGACCACCTGTAGAACGTTATGCAAGCAGCAGTGGAGAGGGAAGGCTCTGCATCTGGGTATTAACGCCCAAAGCTGATATTCAAGCTGAACAGCTGTTTTCAGAGCCAACACCTCTAGGAAAGAGATATTGACTTGCTTTCTGTCTGTTTATAATGTACGTGTGTATCAGATTATATAGGGGGTTTGACTCATCTAAACCAAGCATCAAAGTTATGGTAATTTGAATCAGAGTACATGACTGTAGATGTTTTTCCGTACGTGAAAGTCACTGCAAAAGACTTGGAATAAACAAGGACAGGGTCAACATACAGAGACTTCGGTTGTAAAAAGCACCACAAAAGGGGTTGAAAGAAGAATGTTGAGTCTGTACAATTATATTGCGTGATATGTAGATGACTATTTCAAAGATGGATTGGCGCCAGGGAGATGAAATTAATTTTGGATTTTTTGCCCATTCCGACGTGTATTTATAGATACTTATGATATGTAGATGGTCACGGATAAGCATTTCTAACATAGGACGTGGTCATTTCCATGTTAAGTTACAAAGCAGCGATCTTCATTCACACTAAAGAAAACACTTTTATTAATCATGCTTTGGTGGACTTCAGCCAAAGTAATAAGGATGTGGCTTTTTTAAGTTAGTGAAGGGCATTGTAATATCCAGAAAGTACTTCCACTTTCCCTGAAAATGGGTTTGAACTACTACTATTAAATAACTTAACCTACTACAGTACAACCAGGAAAAACAGAGAAATTAAACCCCAAGGCTCCTATCCTGAATTTTGATGCCGAACTTTTTAGACTCCACTACTCATTTTTGCCGACATCGTCGCTGTGCATTTTCCCCATACAGAGCCTTTTGTAACTACATGTATTTACAGCCACTTTGACAGCCATTTGGTGAAAGCAGTCTCACTGCTCTTACGCAGCTGCCATTTTTCGTGAGACAGATCAGCTCAAACCCACTCCTTCTTTTTCCAGTGATGCATCAAACCAACTTCACATCACTATTACAAAAACCTAAACATGATGGAGTTTAAACATAAGTCACGTTGATTGTATTCACATGTACTGGCATGTTGACTGATGTACATGTTGACTGATGTACACGTACGGAAAAGCAGTGGAAACTTTAGCTCAAAGACCCTGGGATCTGAACCCCAGTATAGTGGGGCACTTACGTGTACATGTACACGTAAGTGCCCCACTATACTGGGGTTCAGATCCCAGGGTCTTTGAGCTAAAGTTTCCACTGCTTTTCCGTACGTGTCGAATTGCCACAATGGACATGCTCGAATTTTCACCAATTGAGCACAGTGCTTTCAAGGACCTAAAGATCACACTCTCTTTTAGAAAATAAAACTATGGTTTCATTGATCGACAATTCTGATTTTAGCCAAATATATCCCCTCGCAAAAGAGTCTGAGGAAATGTCCGACAGCACATTCTGGGGTTCCAATTTGAAATCATGGGGCTTAGTTACCTATTGTTCAGCACATTAAAAACCAACTTTGATTGAACATTGCTTTTGCGTCACAACTCTTACATGTACAATTTTGTACGTGCTCCATCACCTGGGTTCTTAATACAATAAAATAGCACCCCACAAATCAGGGAATGGATTAGTGCAAATCAAGGATTACAGACAAGTTCCTTTTGGATTAACTGAGATCAATAGCTTTGCAAATTAAACTACTGAAAAGGGGTTTCAACATTGAGGTTACCCTAAACATTCCTCCCACCGTGTTCAACCAGATCAAATTATCACTTTTCGCACAGGATCATTCGAAGACATTTTTAAAGCTGTGTGATTAAAGAAAATGTGTAGCATGTAGTGAGAATGATTTCCTTTCAGACGTCCATATGAAGTGTTCATGTGATGATTTGTGGATACATCTACATGTACATCCAGT